TGGTTCATCATCAGTGCAATTTCAATTGTTATCCTCGCAGGTTCTACTTGTGATTGGTTGTTGGGAGTTTGTCAGAGAGAGAGAAACATTGTGTGTCTTCTCCCCATCTGTGCATAGCTGTTTTCCGCTGCCTACTTTGATCTGTGTGCAGTGTGGACTTTGTCTCCTCTCCCCCTTCTCTTATGCATGTATGGGCGTGTATGAGATTGTCTGTGTGTGAGTGGCGGTAAAAATCGTCAAACAACCACGATCATAACAAGGGGGTCAACCGAGGATGGATGACAGCCTTTAAGGCTAAGGTTTATACCCAGGAAACACATGGGGGAAGAGGGATCAGCCCATTGCATTCCTTCTGGCGAGATTTCTAGAGGGGGCTGGGTGTCTGATAGCCACCAGCCTATTGTTTTCCACTAGTCTAAACTTGTCAGTCTTGGAAAAACCGATATCACGTTCTTGACAATTCTTGTCTACACTTAGTAGTCTTGGAAAATACGATATTACCTTGAACCACCTTTCTCTGGTTGTCTGAGGATTGACGACCGACTTTTGTGATTCATGCAATGTGTCTGATGAACAAGATATGCGCAAAATGTAAAAGGGCCTTTACCCGATTCTGGCCCTGTTTGACGAAATGCAGCATAATGGGGTCACTCGCCCAGAGCCCAACTCGTAAAAGCAGATCAAAGGACATGTTCTCTGGTTAAAAAGTCACTTCCTAGCTAAGTAAAAGACAACGTCAAAGGTCACAGTTGTGCCCCTGGACGAACAGTTGCAACATTCAGATATGAGAGTCACATCTGTTCATCCAGGGGATGTGCAAGTCATGTCTGTTCATGCAAGAGATGTGTTTGTACGTGCAGTATGTGTGTCTGTCCGGGCAGTATGTGTGTCTGTCCGTGCAGAATGTGTGTCTGTTCGAGCAGTAGGTGTGTCTGTCCAAAGGAAGTCGAAAGGGTAAAGTCCCAGTCACGAATTAAGTCAGAAGGAGAGTCTAGATACCGGCTCTAAGTCCAAAATCCAGGCCTGAAGGCCGCAGCAGCAGCAGATCCTGAAGGAAAGGGTACTGGGACACACTTCACAGAGGCTGGGACTGGGACAGGACCCAAGACAGGCTGAATTCAGACGTCGCAAGGGGAGGCCAGCACTATAAAGGACGAGGCAGCCTCCCCATCAGACAGATTCCCATTGGCATTACTGCGTGGAAGTGTTGAGGCACTTGTGCGCTATAGTGTAGGGAAGGGCGCTGGCAGAAGAAGCTGCGCCAGAAGGGAGATGAGCTGGGCGCTGGCTGCAGGGAAGCCATAGCTGCGCCAGCCTGAGTTAGTAGAAGCAGTAGAGGGGTTAGTAGTAGGATATCAGTGAGAGGCATTCGGAGTAGATTCTCGTAGATGAGGAGTTTGCATGCATAGTGAGAGAAGGGAACCAAGACAGGGATCTTGAGAGAGAGAATACAGAGAGAGAGAAGACAGACTACGAAGTGGGATATGGTGAATGCTTACATGTTTGCACTACACTAGTGATCTGAAGGGAGACGCTGGTTGAGCCAGGCTCTATGCTGGCAAATGAGGGAAAAAGACTTACAGTTTGTTGGCACTGAACTTTGAACTCAAGATACTCTTGTATAATATGAATTTTGATAATACGAGTTCGTTTTCTGGTTCGTATCTCGTCTCGACATTGGCTTTGAGTGATGACGAATGTGCATGACAATTGAACACTCCAGCAATTGTGAACAGTCAGGTTCCTTGCAATTTTTGGTATCGGAGCCGTGACTCGTTGCACTCACTGATTCGCTGGCATGAGTAAGGCCGGCGAGGAAGACATGCTGGCTTGAAGATGCTAGCTATGGTGGAGGTGTAGGAAGACAGTGGTTGGGATACAGGAGGGGAAGTAAGCCGAAGGGGAAAGGGCTAAGGAGAAGTACTTACCTCGCGTGGAGCTTGGAGTGCGGAGCGACGAGGAGTCTTCATCAACGGCAGCTGCAAAAGAAAGAATAATTCCTCATCCCCTTACCTGGCTGCATGTGTGTGTGTGTGGTACCTTTTACCTCTCCTCTCTGGTGGTCGCTGCTGCTGCTGTCAGGTCAAGTCACCCTGTGTTCAGTCTAGAGTCGAAGGGTCTGGTCACGTCAGAGTTAGGGTGGTCAGAGTCCTTGTTTTTCTTCCCTCTGTCTGACGTTTGTGATGTAGTTAAAGTCAAGAGTACGCTGGGGGGATTGTGACAAACAGTTACGTCAGTTGCAAAGAAGATATAAGGAACAATCAACTGGGCACAGATAAGTTATGAACGAAGTATTGTCCCAGCAATTGACATAGTAAAACACTCCAGTTTTTCCCTGCGCATGAAGACAGACAAACAGGGTGAGTAAAGAAGATAAAAGAAAAAGAAAAACATTCACAGCCAGACAACAGTTAGAACAAACTAGGTGGACTTTTGACTAAGATCAAGTGAAGTATCTATTCTGATCAGTTTAATATATGACGTTGAAGACCGACAACAACAAAAAAAAAAAGCCCTATTGAATATTAAAAGTTTTTGAAAGTTCTGAAATTCGTTATTGATAAGGAGTGACATCCAGAGTCTGAAAAAAAAAAAAAAACAGAACATATCCCATCCACGTGGCAGACAAGTAGGATAGGAGGGGAGTTCTTACCTGGTGGGACAGCGGAGGGGTACATGTGCTACACCCCATCATGGACGACTACCCCATGCAAGGGTTGTTGGCCCTCTCTGTTCTGATGGGTCCCTTGTTCAGAATTTTCTTTCCCCTGGGCTTTGGGAGAGTATGCACCTCCCGTATGATGTTGAGATCGGGAGGAACAAAGCCAGGGCTTACACCTGCAAAGCAGGCTGAAGTGGATCGCCGTTAGGCAGAAAAGAAAAAAGAAAGAGAAGAAAGGAAAAGACAAAAGGAAGAAGAGATAAATAAGAAAATGCAGATGGAAGAAGAAAGAATGAGGAAAGAAATGAAAGAGAAATTAGAGAAATAATTGAAAGAGGAATTGTAGACCATAAAAGAAGAAGAAACTGATGAGGGAGATGAAAGACTCGTCAGACGGCGGGCAAAAAAGGGGGGAAGCTAGCCAGCCAGGGGGAGCACTTGATGTTAAACCACTGGACCGGTATGACCAGTATGCATATTCTAGCGATAGACTTGAGGAAACAAAAGAAGAGAGGGACGTGTTCGTTGCAAGACTGGCAACTATTACAGACCAGAAAGAAAGGAACCTTATGCTTGAGGAAAAACGTGCAGAGCTGCATAAGAAAATGTTAGCAGCGAAGCAGCAACAACTTGACGAAAGGAAAAGGTTGCAAGCAGAGGGCGCAAGGCTGCAAAGAGAGTTGCAAGCGCAGAAAGATAAACAGGCGGCAACCGAAGAAAAACTTGCCCTTCTGACAGAAACGGTCCTACATACCAAACAAGAGGTAGCAGCAATGAACCGAACTCTGCAAAAGGTAGAAACGCACCAATACGAGTTTGAAGGAGTCTGGAATACCTTTATGTAAAAATCTGCCAAAGATGTGGATCTGCACATTCAAACGTATATTCAGAAATTAGATAACCATATCACACAAACTTTTACTCCTGCCGTAATTGATAAGATAGTTCGCGGCAGCGGGGGAGGAGTAGGTGGTGATGGAGACGGAGATGGAGGAAATGGTGATAGAAAAGGAAAGGGGGTGTTGCGAGACGATAAAGACACTGATGTTAGGAAAATAAAGGTTAAAGTGCCCTGGACCTACACCGACAAAAAGGAGGAGTGTTCTTCATTGGATTGCAGTCGTAGAATCCTACGTATACGGTCAGCGCATACCTTATTGGGATAGAGTTCGGATGGCCACCTCGTGCATGGCTGGCGATGCGATGAGCTTCGCCATATCGTTGCAAAAGGAAGCTAATTGTGATACTATGATTGCATACTCGCAGCAAACTAGAATCGAAGATTTCTTTAAAGCTGTCAGAGAACGGTTTGAAGATAAGAATCTAGCTCGCCGGACAGAAATGTTAATTCAAATATCGCAGATCGAAAATGGAAGAGTGCATCTGCACTCAAGGCAACGATGGATGAACTCTTGCAATGTGCAGAACATGGACTAACTCCTACCCAAATCCTCAACAACTTCGCAAGGGCACTTCCTGATCCTCTCCGTACTCAGCTTTATCCCCGCACAAAAGAAGAGGGGATGACATAGAGAAGTTCAGCAAGATCGCCATAGATCATTTTGACTTCTTGACTGAAGCTAATTACTGCCATTATTGGAAAGATCTGCAAGCGGAAAAGAAGTGGCAGAACCGCACAATCTCGGGGAACATACTTGGGAAAGACAACCTCCTTCTGACCTTTGAAGAAGGAGGTGTCGAAACTCTTTCCTATGACCAAATAGACTATGGTCTTGAGGAAGGACCCAGCGGTCCTGTAGCTCAGGAGGGGAGTTACGCGACCGTTGCACCCCGCGGCGGAGGGCGACAAGGAAGAGGACGTGGCCGGGGAAGAGGAGGTCGCGGACGCGGTGGAAGAGGACCCGGTACCCAGAGGGGTGGTGGCGAAGGTAGCTACTACGTGGGTGGAAGGGGCAATGATCCCTCGCAAGGTGGCCGCGGTTCGTATTCCACCTGGGGAAGAGGAGAGGCGCGTGGTATGGTACGTGGGACGAACCATATCCACCCCATCCAGGTTTGCTTGGAAAAAGCTGGGAATCACTGAGAAAGTTTGGCAAGAAAGAAAAGTTGCCGATCAATGCTTCAAATGTTGTGACCCCAACCACATTGTTCCCTATTACCCAGACTACAAGATACTAAAAGGGAACAACCAGTAGAAGTCTCAATTGCCTCTACGGGAACTTCGGATGTAGAAAGAAAGACATCCTCCCATCCGAAGGTTCCACTGGCAGAGACTGAAGAGGAAGACAATCCCCACCTAGTTAAATGTCTAGAGGTAGTAAGTGTATGTACCTCTCTAGGTGGATCCCTCGCTGACATGGGTGATGAGTTGGCCGCTCGTCGCCAAGCCTGGATTGAGATGAAAAAATGAAGAGGACAGTTAATAATTGCAGATCTTGAAGTAAATAAAATAAGAGTTGGAGGAATGATAGATATTGGATCAACCCGCAGCTATATAAGTAAGAAAGGGTTAAAGAAGTTGCATCTAGGGCTAAAGGTTAAACAGTTAGATGAGCCCGTAATGAGTAAGTTAGCTAATAGTACTATAACCATGATGGATAGATATGTTAAAGAGGTCAAGATATACTTCCGGCTCGAAGCGGAGGGGAAGGTTGAACGCGTTCTCCACTCTCTGACTCTCTTGGTGGAAGATGGTCTCCCTTTTGACATTCTTTTAGGTATGGACTGGGGTGAAGCTGCAGACGCGGACATAACGTTAAGGGACCATGAGTGTTGGCTTCCAAGTCCACAAGGTGGGAAAAAAAAAATCCGCCTATTTCATGAATCAGGAAAGGAAAGCAGCTTAGCTCATTGTTGTATGAGTGCCCCCGCGTTCGCCCGCCATGTAAGAAAGTATAACTTGTATGACCAAGTTTTTGTTGCATATGTGCGCTGAACAAAAGAAGGTGAAGCTAAAGAAGAGGCAAAATCCCCTGAAATTGAAAGAGGCCCCAAGCGGTGTGGTGGAACGACCAATTAAACACCATATCAAAATCATACCAGGAAGTTCGATTCCTAAGGGACCTATATACCGGATGTCACTAAAAGAGTTGGATGAACTGCGAACCCAACTTGATGAATTGCTGGAAAAGGGGTGGATAAGACCTAGCTCCTCGCCCTATGGTGCGCCTGTGCTATTCGTACCCAAGAAAGATGGCGGAGTACGCATGTGTATAGATTATAGAAGACTCAATGAAATCACTGTAAAGAATGTTGAGCCGTTACCGAGAATTGACGATCTTTTGGATAGAGTTAAGGGTTGCAAGTACTTCACTAAGATTGACCTGAAGTCTGGCTACCATCAGATTGAGGTAGAGCCAGAGGACCAATATAAGACTGCCTTTCAAACAAGGTACGGGCGTTACGAGTTCGTGGTGTTGCCCTTTGGTCTTACTAATGCACCTGCAACCTTCCAAAGAACAATGCATGAGCTTTTTCGTGAATGGCTTGACAAATTTGTTGTCGTTTATCTCGATGATATTTTGATTTTTAGTAAGAATTTGAGCGAGCATTGTGAGCACCTTCGACTTGTGCTAAATAAGTTGTGAGAGGCAAAGTTAAAGTTGGACCCTAAGAAGTGTGAATGGGCAAAGCGTGAGGTGTTGTACCTAGGGCATGTACTTTATGGTGATGGGATCAAACCGGAGGATACAAAAATTGCAGCAATTCGAGATTGGCCTAACCCCCGCACTTTGACGGAGTTGCGGTCGTTCCTTGGGTTAGCCAACTATTACCGGAAGTTCGTTAAACACTTCACGATAATTGTTGCGCCTCTTCGCAGATTGCTTAAGAAAGAAAGAATTTGGAAATGAGACTCAGACTACACAACTTCATTTAAACCTCTAAAGAAATGTCTGATTAACTATCTGGTTTTGAAGGTTGTTGATCCTGCGTTGCCCTTTGTTGTCACAATCGACGCCAGTCAGTACGGGATAGGCGCTGTACTCCAACAAGATGACGGGAATGGATACAGGCCTGTAGAGCTTATGTCCCGACGACTGCCTAATGAGAAGGTTGTTGCTTCTACGTATGAGAGAGAATTGTATGCTCTCCGGGAAGCTCTAGATCACTGTCGACACTATCTCTTAGGACGTTACTTCAAGGTGTACTCAGATCATGAGACACTTCGCTGGCTCAAAACGCAGGCCCGGATGACACCTAAGTTGACTAGTTGGGCCGCTGAGATTGATCAGTATGATTTCGAGCTGAAGCCAGTCAAGGGTAAGTATAACGTTGTTGCTGACGCGCTAAGTCGAAGATCTGATTTCTTCGGTGCCATTGTAAAATATCTAGACGTGGGCACCGATTTGTAAGAGAAAATTAGGAGTGCGTATTCCATAGATCCTGTCTATGGCGCTATGATCAAACGTGTACAAGAAGCGCCACAAGAATTTCCTAATTATCGTATAACACAGGGACTGTTGTTTGAAAGAACAGATGTGCACGACCGACTTTGTATTCCCGATGTGGAAGAAATCAAAAGTCTAATCTTGGGGGAGTGTCACGACACCGAAGGCCATTTCGGGTGGAAAAAGACTTATGCGAATCTTTTGTGTTCCTATACCTGGCCTCGTATGAAACCCAATTGCATTGCGTATGTGCAAGGTTGTCAAGTGTGCCAAAGAAATAAGAGCACCACTCAACCTCCCCTTGGTCTACTAAAGCCTTTGCCAATACCAACAGGTCCAGGAGACTCTGTGTCCATTGACTTTATGGACACCAAGATAAAAAGCAAGAATGGAAAGACGCAAGTCATGGTCATTGTTGATAGGTTTAGTAAATATGTTGTATTCGTAGCATTGCCAGCGGAAGCGAAGACAAAATTAGTAATCCAGGAATTCTTTAACCATTGGGTAAAGGATTATGGATATCCCTTAACGATTGTGAGTGACAGAGATTCACAGTTCACGAGTGAACAGTGGCAGCAACTAATGAACGTCTATGGCTCCAAGTTGACTATGTCATCAGGTAGGCACCCTGAGACAAATGGCCAGACAGAGCAAATGAACAAAATTTTGCAGCAAACGTTGCGTATGTATATACGTCCCGACCAGATTGATTGGGACGAACATTTGCCCAAAGTTGCTAGTGCCTATAACAACTTTGTTCACCTGTCTACATGCAAGACTCCGATGGAACTACATTTGGGATGGCGACCACGTAGACCCATTGATCGCCTAAATCCGGACCAAGTACATAAGCTTTCACTAGGAACAAGTGAGTTTGCGATACAGTATCAGAAGGATATTGAGAAAGTGAAGGAAAATATAGTAAAGGCACAACATCAGATGATAGAGCAAGCAAATAAGCACAAAGGGTTCTCAGTTTACTGTAGGTGATCTGGTATGGGTGAAGTCTAAGGAATTTGTTCCTGAAGAGAACATCTCTCAGAAACTATTACCCGCCTACAAAGGACCGTGGAAAGTTCTTGATGTAGTTGGGGATGTGGATAAACCTTCTTATGTGATCGAGATTCCTCTGCATTTGCATACATATCCAGTTTTTCACGCTTCAAAGCTCTTACCTTGCGTGACGAACGAATTATTTCCCAGTCGCAGGTCAGCGATACCTCCTAGTATGGATGGGAAATATGACGTGGACAAGATTGTTGCTGAAAACACTTTCCAAACTGGACGTAGAGGCAGACCCCGGCGACAATATAAAGTAAGATTCGCATATCAGGACCCTAGTGAAGATCGCTGATTCACAAGAGAAGAACTAATCGAGTCTGCGCCTCATATTGTATCTGCTTATGAAAGAGCTAAAAGAGGAATAAGTATTATAGATAGATGAAGGTTATTCTCAAAGGACCTCGAAACTAGGCCGGCGAGAGTAAAAGGGCCTTTACCCGATTCTGGCCCTGTTTGACGAAATGCAGCATAATGGGTCACTCGCCCAGAGCCCAACTCGTGAAAGCAGATCAAAGGACATGTTCTCTAGTTCAAAAGTCACTTCGAGCTAAGTAAAAGACAATGTCAAAGGTCACAAATGTGCCCCTGGACGAACAGTTGCAACATTCAGATATGCGAGTCACATCTGTTCATCCAGGGGATGTGCAAGTCATGTTTGTTCATGCAAGAGATGTGTTTGTATGTGCAGTATGTGTGTCTGTTCGTGCAGTATGTGTGTCTGTTCGTGCAGTATGTGTGTCTGTTCGTGCAAAATGTGCGTCTGTTCGAGCAGTAGGTGTGTCTGTCCAAAGGAAGTCAAAAGGGTGAAGTCCCAGTCACGAATTAAGTCAGAAAGAGAGTCTAGATACCGGCTCTAAGTCCAAAATCCAGGCCTGAAGGCCGCAGCAGCAGCAGATCCTGAAGGAAAGGGTACTGGGACACACTTCACA